TGTTCCAGTGTCATAAGTACTGTTTTCAAAAAACAAAAAAGTGATTAATATTCTTAAACTATGAATAAGGACAATAGTGCCAAACTGCCATTCTCAAGAGAAAGTTAAATTGATTGTACCACTGGCAGTCAGTTCAAGCAACATATTCATGATCTATTTAACAAACGAATGATTATTTCATTGTATTGTTTGGTAGCCAAACCCAGTCTTCAATCAAGTTCAGTTCACTGGTGTAAACAAATAACAATACCAGTATCAGATTCCATTTCTGTCAGTGTTACATTTACAATGAATGAAATCATAGCAAGTGAGAGTAACTATTTGCGGCAGAAGTTTGTTCTTGAAATTAGTTTAGTTATTTCATTAAGACTTTAGAGAACCCTCATATAAAGTTGCACTTCAAAGGCGTTCTTTACTACCTGGCAGCACATTAAGTGAATAAATCAAGCTTAAGTTAATTTCTCTGTGATTTAATTGACAAACGTCTGCTAGATGACTTTGAGGTTTCTTTCTAAAGCATTTCTTTAAATTCTTAAATTATACACAGATTTTGTTCTGTATTGCTCATTGGTCAAAGTGAAATAAGGCACTGTATGCATCAGAAATATTATGTCTCTGAGAAAACTCAAAAAAATTATTCTATTGCAAAACATTATGGGCAATCACGGAACACTGGAACTTCGAAACAAAACAAAATCTAGGAAAAGCAGAATAAATAGTTCTAAATGACGCCATCTAGATACAATTACAGATATTCATGTACTGGAATAATTTCACATATAAGCTGTGGTACTGAAAGTGCACCAAAGGACAATGTTAATACAAAACACTGAAATCTGAGTTACTTAAAAAGTGAGTTGCAAGCTTACTGTGGTGTTAGATTCCCAGAAATATTCTGACAACTCTGGTTTACTAGGCAGGAAGTACACTGATAGCAGAATCATAGCAGAGGTTAATTCAGATTTTCATTTAATGAATTAACCCTTTTTTAAAACAAAAAAGTTAACTAGCTATTTTGATTTCAAATTTGTCAGAAAAGTTAAGAACCAAATTACCCGGCCACTTGGCATATTCTATTAAGTTTCAAAATAGACTGGGTAAGTAACTGTCACTACAAGTTATTGTGTTAGTCTTATTGCATTATTAAAATACAGCACGGACAAACATCTCCGTGCAGGTTTGATTTCTACTCAGTTGCACTTTAGAACAGAATAAGTTTCATCTTGAGGATGAAAAAAACAATAGTTCATGCCTTGAACCTCACATGCTGAGTGCCAAATTTTAAAGAAACATACACTACAACCCATAAAAAATGAACTTTACTTATTTAAACTATTCAGTATTTTTTGAAGTTTTATTGTATACATTAAGAGTAAACCAAAATATAAAATGTAAATTAAGCTTTTAAAATTCAGTTAATAAAATTTTCATTCAGGTCCATGACCAATGTAAAATGTAATCATCACTTAAATCTCAGCAGCTAAACAGAAAATACTGGATTTTACTTTTTTTGGTAAATATGAACAAAACATGAATATGATTTATTTCTACATTGAATGATATGTTGTATTGACATGAATTACTCCATAGTGGCATTTTTCTCATTTTGAATTCCTTGTGGGGAGCCTTGTCCACCTTAAGCCCTGTGATCATATGTTCATTTCTCTGGAGTATGGCTTCAGCCCAGCTTTTGGTTTAGAGACCAAAGATGCTAGCATTGAGCCTAAGCTGAAAGATTTGAAATTTGTGCTTTGCACAGCTTTCAAATGTTCATATATACTTTCTGGTGGACAAAACTGTCTATTGAAATACAAAGTCAAAAAATTCCATTTTATGTAAGAAGAGGATTTACTGTATGCAGGTTGCACTGTTTCAACGAGTCATAATGAAAAAGTCAAGTCCATATTTCTTCTTGAATGCAAATGAAATGTAAGTTACATTCATGCATTTTATGTCTTCTTATTGTAGAGATGAAATATGTATACTTAATTCATAAACTGGATTTTGCAGCATTTCATGCCAGGCCCTGTAAAAATTCATCATACAAATTGCACTTCCACTTGTATGATTTATAAACCTGATGAGTGTGACTCAAGCATACATATAATATAGACTATGAAACCAAGTATTGTACAAATCTGACATCTAACCTTTACTAAAAAAAAATGATAGTCACCAGTCTATGGAACTAATAATGAAATGATAACGAAACTAAAATTAACTTATACTTTACATTTAAAGATTGTGTTGTAAATTTTATGCCCTTAAGGGAACACATATTAGGAACAGACCTCATTAACTTTAATTTATTCAATTATTGTCTGGCAGTAGGCTAAATTGACAGGATCTTTGGGAATGATCCCCAGCATTCAGGAAGGGGGCAATTTCCAGATTTGGACACGAGGATTGAAAAAGAGGCAGGCACTAAGCAATGCCTGAAAGGCTTCAAATACAGGAGCTGCTGGAAAAGCTCAGCAAGTCTGGCAGCATCTGTGAAGGAAAATCAAAGTTAACGTTTCGAGTCCAGTGACCCTTCCTCAGAACGGTGGAAGGCTAGGAGCTCCTGCTTCTCCTAGTCTACAAGAAATGCAATAAATCATACTTACCTCCTGGAACCATTTTTTTCACTTCCAATTGGTCTGAGAGAGCCTGATTTAAATTGATTAATGAAATGTTCTACTTCTCTGTACTAGGGCACTCTCATTTGTTGCTAGCTACTGCACAGCAAATGGCAGTACAACTGTATTTGTCACAAAGGGAGAAGAGATGATATTGCACATTGCCAAAAAATATTTTATCCTCCTCCTAATCATTAAAGGGTAAAGATGGGAGGAAATTAGTACTGCAGCCATAGTGAGATACACTGCCTATTGCCTTCTGCACACAATTGTAAGGTTTGAAACTTGCAGTCAAGCACAAATTCCTGTGTTAAAAGTGTTTCAACATGGTTAAATTTACGAATGTATAAGACGAATAATCTGTGCTCATGTGCTTAATGTGATCTTATCTACTGCTTAGGTAGACTTGCCATACTATTGTATGCACAAAACAACAGGCTGCAGCTTACACTATGGCCTTAATACTAATTTCTTCCTAACTTTCCCCTTCAATGGCTGGGAGAGGGGTAAAGTATTTTTAGCAATGTGCATTATGACTTCTTCTCCCTACAAAGGGAGAGGTTGTGCTGCCTTTTGCTCTGCAGTGGCTAGCAACAGATGAAATGCCCTAGCATGGAAAGGTAGGATATTTCATTAATTTGTTTAAATCAGACTTTCATAGACCAATTAGGAGTGAAAAAGAGATGGTTCCAGAAGGTAAGTACATTTTTATTGCATTTCTTACAGACCAGGAGCTCCCAGCCTTTCAGACAATATCTAATGCATGTCTCTTTTTCAATCCTCATGTTCATATAGTGAAAGTACACTAAAACCAACATGAATTCCTTTCATGGCACCTTTCAAATAATGCAAAGTGTAGAGTATTTGCAGAAGGGTCATTTATAAGAAGATTTCTATACATCAAAATTAATTGTCAAATTAGCTGCTGTAGATTGCGATGATATCAGTAAAAGAAAATATGAATTTGCAATATTCAACTTAAGCCCTGCAGATTAATTATTGATCATTTTCAAGATTAATCATCCCCTTCATACCTCACATTTGCTTTTAATAGTATTCTCAGAAACAAGGGATATGTAGATGCATGTAGATTTTAAAATAACTTATTTTCTTTACAGATACACATATAATATAAATAAAAATGCGCATCTGATAGATAATTCTGGAAGAACAGAATCAGGAGATTACCTGGCCCATTGTGCCTGTCAGTGCATTGTATAGTTATCCAGTCAGTCTCATTTACCATTTGTCTGAAAAATGTCATTTTCAAGTCTACATGCAATTTCTTTTTTTAAGGTCATTCATGAATCAGCTTGTACTCACTCTCTGCTGGTGCATTCTGGATCATAATTCTCTCCATATAAAAAGACAAACTCCTCTGGCTCTTTCACCAGCTATCTTAAAACTATGACTCTGATTTATCATTTATTACAATGTTACAGCACAGAAAAAGGACACTCAATTCATCAGGTTAACACTTATGCATTTCTCCACACAATCTACATGATCTAATCCCACTTCTTGTTCACATCACATTTTATTTAATACTCCTCTTCTTCAAACAAGTACCTGATTCTCTTCGAACATAATAATGGGCTCTGCTTCAACAATGTTTAGGAGAGTATTCTACAATGTATGAGAGTTCTAAATTTCTCATAATCTTTGTAAGTGTTTCTTAACTTAACTCCTGAGTCTGACTCTAATTTTTAGAATATATCCTAGTTTTTGACTTCTCTACTCTTAGAGATTGGGAGGAACTACCTTTCTAATCAGTTCCCATTTATATCTGAATAGCTTTAATCAAATCACACTTATACCTTCAAAATTCAAAACGCTCAGAGCTGTGGCCTTCTGACTGAATTGAAATTTATTAGCCACAGAGTTAGTGATCGAGTAAAGCGATCAGCATTGCTTTGTAATTTTAAGATTCTGTCTATATTACTTACAATGGCATTTTTATCTCATGAGTAAACTTGGATATGTGTTACCTTTGGAAATAGAACTTGGAGTTAAAAAATATTATATCCTTTCCTCTTCTATAAAACAAGGGTAAATCAGGAAAGAACAGAACTTAGTATTTTCTAATATGGAATCCACAGGTGTGTTGTGGCCTATTTTGTTCTCTATTTACTGAAATGATTTTAATATAGGTATAAGAGGAATGATATTGAAGCTTGAGGCCAAATTAGTAGAAATATCAGATGTTCAGGAATGTAAGACATACCTGCAGTGAGTGCAGCGACATGGAATGCAAAGAAATGTGATGCAATGTGTTTTGGAGAAAGGGAAGCATGTGTTCTAAATAGTAAAGTTTTTAGAAACATTCAGAAATCTATGTAAATTTCTAAAGATGTGAATGGAGTTTTAAAAAAAAAACTGCAAAAAGACAAATAGAAGCTGGGGCTTTATTCGTAGGAGCAATAAATACAAAACAAGGAATCAAAACGGCTAACATAACATTGGCCTTTATCACAGGCTTGAATAAAGCAGTTGAGGAAGCAATATTTCAAACGTATAAAAGCTTGGTCAGAACCAGTATGGAGTCGAGACTCGCGTTTGTTCAGTGTATATAAATTATTCTCACTGGATTCACCAGAATGTAACAAGGGTTAAGTGATTCAATTCTGAGTACAGGTACAACACTTAATTTGTCTTCCCTTCATTTGAGCAGGTTGAATGACAATCTAATTGATGTCTTAAAATTAGTAAAGAGATTTCATAGGTTACATACAGAAACTATTTCTTTGGTGTAGGAAGTGACAATAAATGAGTATAATGTTAAAACTAGAGTTAGGAGTAAAATAAGGAAATCCTTTAATCATGTGAAGGTGGTAGACATCTGTCCTCCAGAAAACCGATGGTACAGGATCAACTGAAATTTTCAAGACCGAGATATATGGATGTATTCTTGTCAGTCAAGGATGTCAAAGGATATGAGAGGTGACGTACAAATCAGCCATAAGCTTAGGGAATGATAGAGAAAACACCTAGTCCTGACCTTTTCCTTTCTCTCCCAAATCTGAACTATTATTTGCAGCTCTGGCCACACCATTATAGGAAGGATATTACATTCATGGCAAGGACATATTAAAAACTCACTACAATATCAGGAATTATGGACCATAGAAATGTGAAATGGAATGCAGAATCTAGAAAACTATTTGCCTTCGGAATGAATCACAGAATCAAAAACTACCAGCTGAGTTTTTCTCATCCTATATCTAAAGACTCAAGGTGCGAATTCCACCTGCTACCACAACCCAGGATCAATTTCTTGTTGTTGTGAAAGAATTCATGGCAGCTGCTCAATAGGATCCCCTGTAAGCACAGATTCTACTGGTGCATTAAACAGACCAGAGATTCTTAAAGATGGCACTGGTTAACCAATTACAGCCCTCGGTGGAGATTAAAGCCCCTAATTAGCCGAGCAAAAGCTCAGTTCTCTCTCTCCCAATTGGGAGCATCTGAAGTTATTCCTACTGATGCCACTGGTCTGCCATTATGGCACACCTGGTAGTCCCAGACAGTGGCAGGGGAAAGACGGACAAGCAATGATCCTGAAAAGGAGAGAAATGGTAAAATCAGGTTGGTGCAGTCAAATGGCAGTAAATCACATTGTCCAATTGGTTTCCGGTTAGCATTGCTATTACACCACATTTCAGACAGGCTTGTAGAGGAAATTTCACCACAGCTGCAGCTTAAGGACTAATGACAATGTTGGAATCGACAAGGTTATGTATTACAAAATAAACATGCTGCACAATTTACAAGGACCATCCTAAAATATAACAGCAGCAATTTTACATCTGCTTTTTAAGTTTTTTAAAATGTGCAAGTAAATAACACAAACTGAAGCAAAAGTGGTTTAGATAAGGGTGTACAACAGCAAGTGAGTGACTCCTGCAGAGTAATACACCTTTACTATCCCCAATGACCTATACCCAGAGCAAATTCACAAGAACGGTATCGCACAAAGCTGTTTTTCTCCAAATTACAAACACTTGGCATAGGACTTTGGACAGGTGGGACAGTACTGAACAGTACAGGACTTTGGTTCTTTCAGAATGTAAATGATGAGATGCGAGTGGATGTCAATTTATGTGAAAAGTTACTCAATACAGCACATCTTCAGTTACACCTCTGTACGTAGACCAGTTATTTGTTTGACATGTCAAAAAATTGTTTCAATTGGCACTAATTCTACTGTGAAGATCATACTTTCATAACAATACTGCTTTATTCTATTACTTTGTATAGTAATTACAATGCAATAATAAAACTATGGAATTTTAAAATTGCTGAAACAATAAAAGAACAACTGCTTTTCCTTTACTAACCATATAAAAAGTGTTCCATGGAACTATTTCATTGTGGTATGAATTATAATAAAATCTTCTGCATCCCATCCATTTAACACATCTCTTCCTTCTTTGGTTGAGGAAGAGATGCTAGGCCTGGCCAGAAACATTTAACATGTCTGCGAATTTCTGTCTGACTGGCTGCAAGAAAGTGCGACTTGAATCTGACAAACTCACATCTTAACAATACAGCTTCAACAGAACTGCTGTGAGCTAAAGCAATTCATCACATGGGGAACCTAGTTACAAATTCAACTAAATATGAATGTAAAGTGAAGTTGTAGTCAATTAAAGCACATAGGTGAAAATCTTCAAAATCGGAAATTGTTTTCTTGCGGTACCACAAAGAATTCAGCGCAACATACTGCCTAGTAAAACTATGTTGCACTGAATTAAGCTATTCTCGATCCTATCAGATTGTAGTGTACTCTATAAACTAAAAACACTTGACAAATACCACAGAAAAGACACGCCAGGTTAGTGCCTCTCTCTGCAGCAGTGGGAAATGGACCATTTAGATTATTCCAAATTATCAATTTACCATAGCTTACTGTATCCACATTTTAAATATTCAAAAATACAATATATAAAATATTTGATTCAGCCTGAATAACCTAACATTCTGATATTTGGCAATTTGAACTATCTTTTATTTAATTGTTCGTTCCTTTTGCCAGAAGTCCCCGACTTTTTGGATTTGCACTAATTCTGTGAGATTGTTGGGGACTGATTCCATGACACTTTCCCTGTCTGAACGTAAACAGAGCTCCATTCTATGGCCTTTCTAAGAACTAGTTCAAAAAATATAACGTCCTCTGAGGACAGACAGGTCTGAACACTAAGTGAAATCTGGGGTTCAAAATTTGGACCTCTACTAAAGCAAATACCAGGTCACCCTTTCTTTGCATGACGCTCAATAAAGGATCACTTGTACTGCAGCATTTCTGTTGCACTTCTTGATTACCCTTACTTAAAATGTATGAAAATTTCATTAACTTTTAATCTAATCAGAAGGGTCAAACATGTGACTTCACCAACTGTGCACACAAACATTCACACATTGAGCCTGTGTGTTACAGTTAAACTGTATTGTCCTACAGTGTAGTTACTAGAAAGCTGGAGAGCTTTCCAGTTCAAAGCTATTCTAATTTCATGGAATAGAGATGTTTATAACCTGTGAATGAGATGATATTTAAGTAATAAATAGTCCTAAATAATCAGAAGTTAACGGTTTTTAACCAATAACCATTAGGTGATTAAATGAGAAAAAAATATTAGCAGCATTAATCAGAACCATTAAACTGTGTCCACTGGGCTATAAATAAGCTCATTGCTATTTGTTGTGTTAGTGTGTCATGGACTAAATTTTAACTGCCATCAACCTTTTTAATTTCAAAGGTACCCCGGTCCTCAGCAGTTTCTCGAAAAGATGTGTTGGAATGACAAAATTAACAACTTGAAACAGAACAGTTAATAAAACGTGGTGCCTCTTGAACAAAGATTTACAAATAAATTCCTTTTTTAAACATCGGTGTAAAGTGTCAGTCATCAGATGTGCTCGATCATCAAATGGGTTTCCTTTAGATTTGTAGAGTGGGCCAAGCACCGAGATGTGCACTACATTTTCAGATTTGTTTCAATCTGTAGAAATTAGTCAAAATTCTCCAACAAGGGTACTAACTTGCAGGCTGGCATGCTTCCAACGGTCGAATTAAACCTTCCTCATACACGCGCAGGATGGCTTCACATACAAATTTGTATTGACTCTGGAAAAAATGAAATCTTACTTAAAATGTGATTCCAATAACTCAAACTAGAACAAACATGATATCAATTGGTTATTACAAAAAAAGTTACACAATCATTTTGTGCAAAAGATTAACATCAGTTTATATCAGGATGTTCGAAGATTACACATTACCATAGACATCATTGATGGCTTCCAACACCCATAAAGAATAGCCACAAAATCTGAAGCACTTCGAGGAAGCTCACAAGGAGTGACAGGTTTTTCTGTTGATCTATTTTTTGCCTTGGAAAATCACAGTAAAACAATGGGTGCCTGGGAAGTTTTTGAAAACAGGGATGGAGATTTTCAAAGGTTTAAGTAAAATGATTGAAAAGATAATTGTTGCATGTGGAGCAAAGAAAGTGATAAAGAGTTGTCAAGTATCAGGGTGGGGTGGAGGTGGTAGAAGAAGAGGTGTTGATGCGGTGTGAATTTTACTGGATTGGAGCAGGTTGGAGAGATTGTTATCAGGGCTCCAGTGAGTGTGAGGAGTCAGGGAAGTGTAGCTGTGGGAGTGTGTGGTAAATTGGGATTAGATTTAATAATCACACAGGATTACACTAGGTTTGCCTAACTTTTCCTGGTTAATTTCTAATGGAAGAAGAGCCCACGGAGTTCTCCACCATTAATGGGTTAATGTGCTAAACGGGGGAATTGCCCATCAGAATCTTCAATTTCTCAGGCAATTTCCACAGCATCTGCTGTGTCTGGGATTCTGCATTGTCCCAACACGCAAGTCCAGTCTCCAGCAATCTGGCCAAAGGAACATCGAGGTTAAAGAAATTTGAAGGTTAGGGTAAGGAATTTTAAATCAATTATCAGAAGATGTAATTTTTTGACTTAGTGCCTCCTGTATGTAATTTATCTGTCAAGATTGATTATGGGAGATTCTGGTGGAAACTGCTCAACATTATTTTAATTGCTTGCCAATGTGCAGATCCTAGAATTTCTAGTATGCATTTTTGGTGGGTGGGCTTCCTATGAAGATAATAAGGCAGTGAAGTTTGGTAGTGATGTGTGAGATAAAGGCTTGAAAACCTGTATATGTGAGGATGTGAGCTCTGACATTCAAGTCACTTTAGAAGCTGTGCAAGAACAGTATCAGAAAAAAGTAGTTTAGGTGATAACAAGGTTTAGTTTAGATAGCTGTGGGAAGATGTAGAGGCAAGTGAGATCACTGGGATGTTTTAAAGGTTCTGATAGAAGACTTGGCAATCCTGGAAAGACATCTTGCAACCCACCTCAGAGAAGTAAATAATGACTTGGGATGCCCATCCAAAACTGGAAATTCCTGCTAAGCCTTTTATCAAGATCCGCTGTTATAGAGTAATACAGCATGGAAACAGGGCCTTCGGCCCAAACTGGTCCAAGCTGCCCACTCAGTTAGTTCTAATTGCCTGCATTTGGTCCATATCCGTCTAAACCCTTTCCATCCATGTACCTATCCAAATGCTTTTTAAATGTTATTATTGTACCTGCCTCAACCACTTTCTCTGGCAGCCCATTCCATATACGCACCACTCATGCGTGAAGAAGTTGCCCCTCAGGTCCTTCTTAAATCTTTCCCCTCTCACCTGAAACCTATGCCCTCTAGTTTTTAAATTCCCCATCCCTGGGAAAAAGACTATTTGCATTCATCCTATTTATGCCCCTTATGTTGTTGTTGTAAGGGTGGCCATTATTTTTCATGCTTAGAGGTGTACAACAATAACTACACGCATTTGTATAGTGCCTTTTACATAAACAGTTAAGTAGTAAAATCTCCCAAGTCATTTCAAAGGAACAGTTTCACAAGATTTGATATGGTTCTTAGAGAGACAGTAAGATAGCTGAGCAAAACCCTGAACAAGGAGGCAGGCTTCAAAGAGTTCCTTAAAGGAGGAGAAAAACTTAGGGAAGTAATGCCTTTCTCAAAGTTTATTCCAGACCATAGGTCCATGCAGCTAAAGGAACACTGCTAATGGTCAAGCAATTAATATCAAGGATTTGAACAAAGCCAGAACTGGATAAGTGCAGAAATCCCAAAAGATTGTAGAAAGTTGCAAGTAGCTTAAAGCAATTATGCAAATTTTAAAATGGAGTTGTCAATGGACAACAATCCAGTACAGGCCAACTTAACAAATGGCAATTTTACAGTCCATGATGGTCTGCTGCACCCAGCTCTCAACAAATGGAACTGAGTGTCAATGAGGTCCTGTCTGGCTTGTAGCACCTGCTGCACCTGTTAAGCACAAGGAGAGCTTCCTCCTCCTTGGGAGACTGCTCCCATTCCCCAAGTTCCTCGGCATCCAGCACAAGTACTGGAGTCAGGGCCAAAAATCTCTGGTCCTCCTGCAGAGCCCATACATCCTGAGGGCCCCTGCAGGAATAATATCTCCTTATTGGGGGGTACTCAGCCACAGTGACCAACATCCCACCAGCAGTAGAGTAAGACTCTCTTTGGAAATGATCTGCTGTGGGCACATTCGAGAGCAAAAGCAGTTCTTAACTTTTGGAAGAGTCAGTGGTCTCAAAGCCTGCAGATGACAGCTGGACAAATTCCTCCAGACAGTGAAGCATATTGGACCTTGATACAAGGGCAATGTCTCTGTCATTCATTCAACTTCAGCCTCAGGTGCGTGCACCAACTTGGCGAAGGTGTATTGCCATCTGAGTGAACAACACGTTACATCAAAAGGGAGGTCCTGCTACGCTCAGTTCCTGTTCCCATTCCCATTCCAGACTCTCATTAATCATTCAAATTTTCATTCATACCCCAACCATGGATTGCAAATGGGCAATGAAATTACTGCGTATGAAGTGCAGCTCTAGTTTACAAACATCTGCCTCTTCAATGTCCAATTGTCTAACAGACATAGCTCCTGATCACCTTGGGTGTTGCCCCAGCCATGTTCCATTTTGCATATAGCATTCCATACCCAGAGAACGGCACAGGATGGCTGGGAATGCTGGTTTATGGTAGGCAGTGTCAGTATTGTGGTCTCCCCGGTTGCCATGTATCTCCCCCAGAGTCTCCATGTCGCCTATCACTTCACATTACCCTGACGGCCTGTTTCCACCCGGTGGTTAAGAATGAAATTTATGATGAGGACCAAAGATAATGGTTTCTCTCTTCCCAATATTTAGTTGGAGGATATTTCTCTTCATTTGGGACTGGATGTTTGACAAGAAGGGAGATTACTTAGATGATGTATTGGGGAAGGATGGTCTGATTAACCACATCAAAGCTTGCAGACAGGTTCAGGAAGAGAAGGGAAGAAAATTTCCCACGGGCACAGTTATATTGAATACTATTTGTGGCCTTCACAATGCTTTTGAGAGTTGTCAATGTTGAGGTCAAGTGAGGCAAACAGCCCAAGTTTAAGAACATTTTGAGGTCAGCTCTCTTTTTCTTAGGGTGCCAAAGGATGTCAGGACCACTGTCAGCATGAGGTAGGGGGAGGTGGGGGGTGGAACACCTTGATCACAGACAGACAACGTGTTGAATTTCTGGTTGTTGTAGTCAGATGGGTAGGGGAGATGTGCTTGAAACGGTACATACAAGGCACCAAATGGTCATGATCACACAAACAAGGGAGGTGCCGAACAGGTGCATTCCCAAATATTGTTACCAAACTAGGATCACATACTCAAGGAGGAACTGCAATTTAAATTCTTCAGAATTTGAGAATGTCAGACTGCAAGCTTTTCACAATGTAAATTTGCTGCCTTGACTTCTTATGGTTTTCTTCCAAGGCTGTAAACTTGGCGATATGCTTTGGATCTTTAGGCACCATAATTGATTGACAGGCCAAATTGTTGTGATCATAAAATAATTTTGACAATGCTTTGTTTGACAAAATTCAGGGAATTCAAAACTGTTTTTGACTGGTTTCACCTCCCTGCTTTCAGCTGTTGGGAGTATTATGTTGCTTAAAAATTGCATGGCTTACTTGTTGCCAAGTGTTTCACAAATATACTAATTTAGGGTCAGAGAAACAAAGCCAAATGCTGTTTTCTTCTGGATTCCACTCATGGCTTGATCTTCGTATTACGTCAGTAAAATACCCAAAAGAGGTACAGTACTAAAACACCTGAACGCAGGCTTGAAGAATAACACCCACAAACAAATACTTTTGCAAAAGACAACCTCGCGTAAATGATTTTGGCTTAAAAGATTGTGATTCTAAATACTCATTATATACAAAGTTTGCGTAACTTTTCAGGGACCAAATAATGTTGCAGCTATTAATTATTTGCCAGTAATTACCATAATTTATTAAAGATGCATGGAAGAACATTTAGATTTTCTGCTATTTCTAGTAACTAGCGTCCAGCCAATCAACAAGACTAATGTGGAACTCATGACCTATTATGACGTTTTTGAGAAAGAATAACGAGCACACAGCTCAATTTAAGCAGGAGAAAGGCAAAATGGGTTAACAAGCAATATCATACGATCACCGTCATGACCTGCAGTGTCATCCTACTCTATGCTTTGACAGAAGCATTGCATTACAGAATTCAAGATGGTGCGTTAGATTAATGAAGAGGCCCGATTTAGCATTCTTAATGGCTTAGTGGTGTTATCACTAGACTGTTAATACAGAGACCCAGGCAATGTTCTGGGGACCTGGGTTCAAATCAGTCACTTTATTGGGAGTTTTCTCTAGACCCCCCAATAGCAACAGAGACACTGAGGAACAGCTTGGGAAACAGATTTTGGAAAGTTGCAAAAATAATAGGGTTGTTGTCATGGAAGTCTTCAACTTCCCCAATATAGGCTGGAACCTCCGAAGTGCAAATAGTTTGGATGGAGAACATTTTGTCAGGTGTGTCCAGGAAGGATTTCTGACTCAATTTGTAGATAGGCTGACGAGAGGGGAGGCCATATTGGATTTGGTGCTTGGCAACGAACCAGGCCAGGTGTCAGATCACTCGGTAGGAGAGCATTTCGGTGATATGTGGTCATAACTCCCTGACCTTTACTATAGTCATGGAGAGGGATAGAAGCAGACGGTATGGGAAAGTATTTAATTGGGGGAGGGGGAATTACAATGCTATTAGGCAAGAACTACGGAGCACCACTTGGGATCAGATGTTCTCAGGGAAATGCATGACAGAAATGTGGAGGTTGTTTAGGGAGCAGTTGCTACAAGTACTGGATAGGTTTGTCCCACTGAGGCAAGGAAAGGATGGTAAGGTAAAGGAACCTTGGATGACAAGACATGTAGAACACCGAGTCAAGAGGAAGAAGGAAGCTTACTTAAGGTTGAGGAAGCAAGGATCAGACAGGGCTCTAGAGGTCTCCAAGGTATCCAGGAAGGAACTGAAGAATGGACTTAGGAGAGCTAGAAGAGGGTATGAGAAAACCTTGGCGGGTAGGATCAAGGAAAACCCCAAGGCTTTCTATACTTATGTGAGGAACTAGAGGATGGCCACAGTGAGGGTAGGGCCAATCAGGGATAGTGGAGGGAAGTTGTGTGTGGAGTCAGAGGAGAGAGGGGAGGTCTTTAATGAATACTTTGCTTCAGTATTCACCAGTGAGAGGGACATTGACGTTTGTGAGGCCAGCATGAAACAGGCAGATATGCTTGAACAAATTGATGATAGGAAGGAGGATGTGCTAGAAATTTTGAAAAACACGAGGATAGATAAGTCCTTTGGGCCAGACGGGATATACCCAAGGTTACTACGGGAAGCAAGGGTAGAGATTGCTGCTCTTTTGGCGATGATCTTTGCGTCCTCACTGTCCACTGGAGTAGTACCAGGAAATTGGAGGGTGGCAAATGTCATTCCCTTGTTCAAAAAAGGAGATAGGGATAATCCTGGAAATTACAGACCGGTCAGTCTTACTTTTGTGGTGGTCAAATTATTGGAATGGATTCTGAGAGATAGTATTTATGATTATTTGGAAAAGCACAGTTTGATTAGAAATAGTCAGCATGGCTTTGAGAGGGGTAGGTCATGCCTCACAAGCCTTATTGAATTCTTTGAGTATGTGACAAAACACATCGATGAAGGTAGAGCAGTGATGTGGTTTGTATGGATTTTAGCAAGGCATTTGATAAGGTTCCACATTGTAGGCTCATTCAGAAAGTAAGGAGGTATGGGATTCAGGAAAATTTGGCTGTCTGGATACAAAACTGGCTGTCCAATAGAAGACGCAGGGTGGTAGTAGATGGAAAGTATTCAGCCTGGAGCTGGGTGACCAGTGGTGTTCCGCAGGGATCTGTTCTGGAACCTCTGCTCTTTGTGATCTTTATAAATGACTTGGATGAGGAAGTGGAAGGGTGGGTTAGTAATTTTGCCGATGACATGAAGGTTGGTGGAATTGTGGACAGCGTGGAGGGCTGTTGTAGGTTGCAATGGGACATTGACAGGATGCAGAGCTGGGCAAAGAAGTGGCAGACGGAATTCTACCTGGAAAAGTGTGAAGTGATTCATTTTGGAAGGTCGAATTTGAATGCAGAATACAGGGTTAATGGCAGGATTCTCGGCAGTGTGGAGGAACAGAGGGATCTTGGGGTCCACGTCCATAGATCCCTCAAAGTTGCGACCCAAGTTGATAGGGTTGTAAAGAAGGCATATGGTGTGTTGGCTTTCATTGGCAGCGGAATTGAGTTTAAGAGCCGTGAGGTTATGCTGCAGCTCTATAAAACTCTGGTTAGATCACACTTGGAATATTGTATTCAGTTCTGGTCACCTCATTATAGGAGAGATGTGGAAGCTTTAGAGAGGGTGCAAAGGAGATTTACCAGGATGCTGCCTGGACTGGAGGGCAGGTCTTATGAGGGAAGGGTGAGGGAGCTAGGGCTTTTTTCATTGGAGCAAAGAAGGATGAAAGGTGACTTGATAGAGGTGTACAAGATGATGAGAGGCATAGACAGAGTGAATAGTCAGGGACTTTCTCCCCAGGGTGGAAATGACTATTACGAGGGGGCATAATTTTAAGGTGATTGGAGGAAAGTATAGGGGAGATGTCAGAGGTAGGTTCTTTACACAGAGAGTGGTGCACGTGTGGAATGCGCTGTCGGCAGTGGTAGTGGAGTCAGATACTTTAGAGATTTTTAAGCGACTCTTGGATAGGCACATGGAGGATAGTAAAATGTAGGGTATGCAGGGTAGATTGATCTTAGTAGGATAACAGGTCAGCACAACATCGTGGGCCGAAGGGCCTGTACTGTGCCGTACTGTTCTATGTTCTGCTGTCAGAAAATGAAAATTACGAAGCATCTTCCAGCTGTAATCGAGAATACAGTCTGCTGTTGCCATGTCGTGTTAGGATGTAACTTTATTATTTCCAGAAAACAGGGACTAAATCCGCATAGCTTTCAACATTTCAAAACCACCTGCAATTGCAATTGATGAGGGCATTGAAGATGATTTCTTGCTCACTGTCTCAGTCAGGGAATAACACAGGGTATTGATGAGAAAGCGAGAAATAAATTAAGATCTGAGAAGTGGGAGGATAATAGATTAGCCAAAAACCATAAAGTAGTATATTTGCTCAAAAATTCACTTGAATGTTCCGTCTAGGATTTTGAAAATTAATGACAGTAAATGGCTTCATTTTTTTTCACACATTATTTAAATCTTACCGATGTCTGTACCATCATGGCACGCTGGTCTCGCATTGTTCTAACAATATCCAGCGGGTATACAGGTTGGCTGTTTTCAATTAAACACATTGCTGTCTCCATAGCAATAAGGACACCAGTTCGACCAATTCCAGCACTGCAAATAAATCACAGAAATAAAGCCAACTGCAGAGGAGAGACAAAACAATTAATATTGATAAGCCTTAAGCATAAGTCAGCAATTTCTATAAAAAGTGACTTGAATTAGATCTACAATGAGAATGTGATCGACATACATAAAAAACATTTGTAAGACTTAATACATTATACAGCCTTAAAGTGGTTGCATTTGTCACTGATGACAATGCTAGATGCTATATATGCAACAATTGCACATGCACACACGTGTCCAACTGAAGTACAAGGCAGATACAGGCAAACCCAGGGTTCTGAACAGGCTCCATTCTGAATTCCATTTTTACACACTTTGGAACATAATGCAGGACAATGTAAAGCAGCTTTTCGTAAGTACAGGAAATGTTTGTATATTGCTCTTTAAAATTACACCCCTGTACGCAATTGCATTTGTTAAGTCTGAGTGTTTATAAGTTGGACGTTCCTAAATTGAGATTCCCCTGTATATGAGGATGTCCTTGACTAGGCCTTGTGCCTACACTACACCAGGATTAATTGTTTATATAATGGTTGTGCTACACTTGTAGTAGAAGGTCTCAATGATTTTGCAATTATTTTATCTGTCAACTTTATCATCAATTACATGAATATTGGTGGGCAGGTGGTTATCTCTGTTTGTTGGTATCAGTAAATTATCATAATGTTCCAGATATAATGATTCTGAGATGTAGGCTTAATGGATCAACAGGCTTACCCCTGCCCATTGATTTCCTATGTGCCCTTTTGCTAGTATATTCTGGTTTGGAGATGCAATGCAAGACATAATTAATTCAGATGCAGTGTGAGCTGTCTGGCATTCAATATTGTATTCTTCCCATATTTCTCCAAAAAACACAATCATGGGAGGGAAACTGTAATGCAGTTTAGTACAGAGAATAGAAATAAACGGCACCTAGTCTTTTCAAATACCTTGGTAGCAACAAGGAAAACAAAAACAAAATCTTTAGCAGCAGCCTTGTAATATGGTAATCTCAGCATAGTGCCTTTTAAACAATCTCCATGAGTTTCAATGTGCTCAGCAGCTCTAAATGGTGGATGATAATGCTGTTTAAAATCAAGGTGGAGATGGCTTGATTCTCAGACTGTAATGCATGACAGTAAAAGGAACATTGCTGAGCAGATGGAAGAGACAAAAAAAAATGTTATTGTGAACTAAAGTATATTCTTTCAGATTGGTGGATGCATTCTGTACAATTTTAGAATGCAACTCTACAATGTCCTGCTCACTACCATACAAGCACAAGCAAAAAAACTGGGAGAGCTAGAACAACTGGTCTAATGCTCCAAATTTTCCAACACATTTCCTATATATGTTCTGCATATGTCCTGTTTTATTGGCATGGCAGATACAGCAAGGGTAAGCGACACCTTGCTGTACATTGAGTAGAGAGTGTAACTGGGAGTCCTCAACATTGACTCAGACCCCATGAAGTCTCATGGCATCAAATCAAACACAGAAAAATAGGCTAATTGCATTAATCTTGCTAATACCACCAAGTGCCCTCCTTCAATGAATTTCTACCTTTCCACGTTAAACACCATTTGGAAGAAGCAGTGAAGGTAGCAATAGCATAGAATATACTCTGAGTGGGGAACTTCAATAACTATTGCCAGGACAGCGGAGTTATATGGCTACCGAATGAGTTGGCAAATTCATGAAGGGCATATTAACCAGACTGGGTCTAGTGTGATGAGGAAATTAACAAGAGGGAAAAATTTCCTGGACCTCATCCTCACCAAGCTTCTTGTCGCAGTCCTGGAACTGCAATGATTTATGTCCTTTAAGCTAGGTATGATTCAAATACAGGACTACATGCGTAATAAATATCAAGAGCAGTACATATTAGAGAGAGCTAAATCATCCTACAAGCAACAGATCAGATCATGCAAACAATCTTATGTTGCAGCATACAAGAAATGGAGAATCCTCAGGCATGGAATGATAACTGGATGGGATATTCATATCACAAATGCCAAACATTACCATCTCCAAGACAGAAACTAAGTATCTCCTCATAACTTTTAAAAGGCACCATTTGTAGACTTTCATCCATGATCAACATCCTATAAAGACAGGAATGTTGTCTTGCCAATAGCAGAAAGAGAATGCACTACAACTAAGCAATCCCACACCAAAGTATCAGACCTAAGCACTGCTGTTTTGCCACAAGTAATTGTAATGTTGGTGGGTAATTGAACGACAAACAGGGAAAGAGCTCCACGAATGTCCCCATTTTTGATGGCTGGGTGCACAACACACCAGTTCAAATAAAGCAAATTCAACCAACTTCGAAGAGCCATGTGAATGACTCATCTTCATCTCGACCAGAGGTCCCCAGCATTGCAGATGCTAGTCCTCGGCTAATTCAATTCACTGCATGTGATATCAAGGAATGGCTGAATGTACGGGACATTGCAAAGATTATGGGCCATGATAACATTCCAACAATAGTACCAAAGACTTGTGCTCTGGGTATTAAGTGCACACTTGGTCAAGTTGTACCATTATAGCTGCAATGCTGGTATCCAACCAGCAATGTGGAAATTTCCCCAGTAGGTCCTGTGCATTAAAGGAGGACAAATCCAACTCAGCCAATTACCACTCCATCAGGCTACTCTTGATCATCAGTAAGCTGTTGAGTGTTGATGATAGTGCTAAAGTGGCACTTGCTCAGCAATGGCACGCTCACTGATCCTCAGTTTGGGTTCTGCAAGGGATGCGCAGCACCTGATCTCAATAAATGATTGGTCCAAATATGGACAAAGCAGCTCAACTCTTGAAGGAAGTTTATAATGACAGCCCTTCACATTATACAGCATTAGACTGAGTATGACATTAAGAAGTCAAAATTAAGAAAGCAAAATTATTTTCAATGGGAATTATTGAGGCCGGGGGGAGGGGGAGTCTTCATTGTTGGAGTGACACTTTGCACAAAGAAAGGTGGTTGTGCCTGTCAGTTATTTTATGACTGCTGGAGTTCCTCTGAGTAGTTTCTTAGACCCAACCATCTTCAGCTAATCCATCAATGACCAGCATAAGATCAGAAGTGATGTGGTGCATGGACAACAGCGCTAATGTTCAGCATCATGGCAGCACGGTGGCTCAGTAGTTAGCATTGCTGCCTTGCAATGCCAGGGACCTGGGTTCAATTCCATCCTCTGTGTCGAGTTTGAACATTCTCCCCGTGTCTGTGTGGGTTTCCACCGGGTGTTCCGGTTTCCTCCCACAGTCCAAAGATGTGCAGGTTAGGTGAATTGGCCATGCTAAATTGCCCAGAGAGTTCAGGGATGCGTAGATTAGGTGGGTTACATGGAAAGGATAGGGGGAATGGGTCTGGACTGGATGATTTGAGGGTTGGCATGGATTTGTTGGGCTGAAGGGCCTGTTTCCACACTGTAGGGATTCTACGACTTGTTAGTCCGCAGACAAGCAAGCAAACTCTAGCCTTATGCAGCAAGACCCGGACAGGCTTGGGCTAAAAAGTAACAGTTAAAATGTGTGCCACACAATGTTGGGCATTGACCGTTTCCAATGAGAGAATCTAACCACTGTCCTTTAAGGTTCAATGGCATTACCACTGCAGAATCCCCTACTATCAACCTCTTGCAAGGTCATTATTGACCAGAAGGTGAACTAGAGTTGCCACATAAATACTGTGACTGTAACTGCAGGAATTTGGGAGTCCCATCACAAATTAGAGAAAACTAGCATCCAAGTTCAGTGGATAATCCAGAAGACATGTAATGTTAGCTTTTATTTCAAAGGGAAGAGTGAGTATAAAAGTAGGAAGGTTTTGCTAAAACCATACAATGCATTACTCAGACCACAGCTGGAGTACTATAAATAATTTTGGGCCCCTTATCTAAGGAAAGATATTCTGGCATTGGAGGCAGTCCTGACAAGGTTCACAAGACCGACCCTGGGTTTGGAGGGACAGGTCTATGAGGAGAGATTGAGCAGGTTTGGCTTGTACTCGTTGGAATTTAGCAAAACGAAGGCAACGTTATTGACGTACGTAAGATTCTGAGGAGGCTTGCTTGATAAGGTAAATGCAAAGAGGTTGTTTCTCCTCTACAGTCTAGGACCAGAGGGCATAATTTCTGTAAGGGGTCACACATTTAAGACAGAGTTGAGGAAGAGTTGCTTCTCTCAGAGGGTAGTGAATCTGTAGAATTCTTTATTGCAGAGGGTTATGGAGGCTGGATCATTAAATATATTCAACGTTGAGATTGACAATTTAAAAGCAGCAAGGGAATTAAGGGTTGTAGGGAAAAAGGAAGGAAAGTGGAATTGACGGTTATCAGATCAGCCATGATCTCAGTGAATGGCAGAACAGACATGTTAGTTTAAATGGCCCACATCCGCATCTAAGTTTTATGGAGTAACTCACTTCTGGAACCTCCACAGCTTTCTCACCATCTACAAGGCACAAGTTCAGAGTGTGATGGAATATTCCCCACTTGCCTGGATAGGTACAGCTCCAACAACAAAGCAGCTCACTTCGTTTCCCGTCCAGCCACAACTATCACCATTTACTCCCTCCACTATCTCATGGGTAATAACGGATGGGAAATAAATGTTGGGATAGACATCAATGTTTACATTTTATGAATGAATAAATGAAAAGGAAAAAAAAAGATATCCTTGCTTGATTGGTATCCATCCATCCCTGTAACCTATCATGCTCCCCACCAATGTGCAGTGGCAGGAGTGTGTATCATCTACAAAGTACATGACAGCAACTCACTAAGGCTGCTTCGAAAGCACTTCCAAACCTGCAATTCTATCACTTAGAAAGAGCAGATGCATGGTACCACCGTCACCTGCAAGTTTCTCTCCAATTAACACACCATTCTGAATTGGGATATATATCATTACTGACCAGAAGGTGAACTAGAGTTTCACATCAGAGATAGTAGGAACTGCCGATCTGGAGTCTGAGATAACAAGGTGTGGAGCTGGGTGAACACAGCAGGCCAGTACTTCACTGTTCCAGAGTTAAAATCCTGGAACACCCTCCTTTGCAGTACAATACGTGAACTCCCACTCCACATACTGCACAGTTCAGGGGATGATGCAACATCACAACTGGGGACAAATAGTGATGAGTAATGATGCTGGCCAAGTCAGCAATATCTACTTCCCACAAATGCATTTAAAAAAAACCCTGTAAAATCAGATTGTGAGCTAAGTATGTAAGGGTTCGATATAATGAAATTTCCAGTGAGGAAAACTTAATATCCACATTAAAAAATGTAAAATTTACCGAATGCTTAGCTTGAAATGACAAACCAAAATAACTGTATTTTTACGAGTATGAACCCAGATGCAAAGTTCACATTTCGTAGAAGTACTTAAAAGTTACATATCGATTAAACTTAAACTTTAAAATAGTGTTATACTAGCTAACACTATTGGACACAATTAAAAGTTTTTTTTTGCTCAAAGCAATGCAATGCTAATTTAGTCAGGAAACTATAACCTACTGCAGATGTCAAATTCTCAACCTGACGATAAGTTTTCATTACGGAGACAATAAAGGGGTTGTCAAGTCTTCCTGCAGATCTACCTTATAGTTGCATCCAAACTCAGCAAGACAGCATGCATAATTGCTTTCCCTGCTGAAAAGAAAATAAGTACCTGCAATGAACAATAACTGGCTCATTGTCTCTTCCGATTCTTTTCTGTCTCACATAAGACACAAAGTCAAAGAAATCCATTGAGTCATCAGGAACACCGTGATCAGGCCACGCTACGTACTGAAGGTGACTGACACCACGTTCTAGGCCCGTCTGCATCAACAGAAAAACACAAAAGAGTTCAACTGGTGATATTCTGTCATCTTGTTATTTATTAATATTTACTTCTGACTGTTGTCAATTCTTCTGAGGTTAAAATCTTAAAGAAAAACAGAAAAGTTGGACATGTAATTGATCTGTCAGTAACCTACAGAAGAAAGACAGTTAACCTTTGGGGTGGGACCTTTCACCAGAATTGATTAGAAAAGAGAAAAATCTATCCAATGTATTTAGTTTAATAATCCAAGGTTAAAAACACATCCACATCTCAATACTTTATTTGTTGAAGCAGAATTACAAAAGGAATTGTCTTTGAAATTGCTTTTGGCTATGTTGGCAGACAGAAGAATGGTAGGGCATGATGAAATTCTTCTTGTATCTCCTGCGTTCCAGTGAAGCAATGAAGTCTCTTGGAATAATCTTCAGTAGAAATCTTGCCTACTCAAAATTACTGACTTGCTCAGGACAGAATTTTTTTTCCTCATTTGGGACACTCATCTCCAAGTTTAGGATCAGTAAGAACAGGAGAACAGAATGCTTACCAACAGTATTCACAAATTACGGAAAAAAAAAGTTCAAGTTAACAGAAAGCATTGAGGAGCTGTTTTCAACTGTATAAAAGTATCGTTTTTAGAAAGAGAATATGACATGAACAGGTTGATGCAGTACAGAGAATTGGGATGCACTGGAAATATCGTTAAAAGAGCATGAAATCCTCTTTCAGTGCTGGCTGCAAGTTGACCAATGCTGATAGCTGAATATCTGAGACACTTAACATTTCATTAGTTTGGCAGAAAGGAAGGAGGAGGAAGCAGTTTAGGAGTCAAAAGTTTTCTAGGCTTGGAAGGTATAGGGTCATTTTGGGTGGTGATAAGAAATCACAAAGAAAGAATTTACTGTGGGAAGTAGACTGAAAGCCTCTTAACAGAGGCTACATATAGGGCAGACATAAATCCAAAACTAATGGGAGCATGTAAGAAAGGTACTGTTATAATATTTCACAACGTTACTCTTCATTTAGAGTGGAAGAATCAAATTGGCAAATGTAGCTTGGAGGACAAGTTCACAGAGAGTATTCAGCTCAGTTTCTTTGAATAACATGCTGTAAAACCAGGTAGGGAATAAGATTATTTTAGATCTGGTAATGTGCAGACAACATTAAGTAACAATCTAATTTTAAGGAACATCTCTCAGCAAGAGTGATCACAGCACGATGGAATTTCAAATTTAGCTTGAGGACGAGGCACTTGAATTAGAGACTAGAGTCTTAAACTTAAAAAAGACAACTTAGGGGTATGAAGACAGTGTTAGCTGACCTGAACTGGAAAACTTGATGAATATGTAATATAGATAAGCAGTGGTAGACATTTGATGAAATGTTGCAGAATTCTTTAAAAAAAAAAATCCATGGAGAAAGAAATACTCTAAAATAGATGAAATATCTATGGCTAACTAAGGTAAAGATGCCATCAAATTGAAATAAAAGGCAAATGATACAGCAAAACATTGTGCATGCTAATATCTTTAGAAATGAAAGAATTTCTGTGAGAGTAGGGAATTTTTTTTAAAAAAAGGACTTCTATATGTATATAAAAACAAAGAGAGTAGCTAAATATTGAATCTTTAGATGATGAGTGTGGGGAAATAAAAGTGGAAACAAGAAAATTGGAAAAACTTTGAATGAATATTATATATGTGTCTTTGTGGTAGAAGACATTATAAGGAAGCCAATAATAGTAGAAAATTAAGGTGCAAAAATTGAGGAAGAGATTTCAAATAATCTTTGTCACTAGAGAAAAGGGTAGTATTAAATTCTAGGCTTAAAGACTGACAAGTTTCTTTGACCCGATTGTCTGCATCCTAGCATCTTGAATGAAGTAACTGCAGAGACAGTGGATGTATTGGATGTAATCTTCCAAACTTCCCAATATTCACTAAAGGCCCCAGCAGCTTGTAAAATTGCAAACAATACAGAACTATCAAACAAAAGAGGGACACAAAGTAGGAAACTGTGTCCAACTGGCCAAACATGATTCATTAAAAATATTCTGGAATCCATTAATAAGCAAATAATGGAACGGCGTACAGAAAATTTTAATACAGTCAAGCAGAGTCAATATGGAAGTGAAATCAAATTCCACATATTCCATAGAGTCCTTTGAGCATGTAATGATTAGTGTGGATGGAAGGAACCAGCAAATGTAGTGCTGGAAAAGCATCCCAGGAGCAGGAAAGTCAATGTTTCAGCCCAAAACGTTCACTTTCCTGCTCCTCGAATGCTCTCTGACCTGCTGTGCTTTTCCAGTTCCACATTTATTGACTCTCGCTTCCAGCAGCTGCAGTCCTTACAGTCTCCAAGTCAATAAAAGTAGTGCATTTGGATTTCCAAAAGGTATTCAATAAAGTGCTATATAAAATGTTACTACACAAAGTAGGAGCTTGGGGTAAAAGTTTAGAATGAATATTGGACTGGCTAACCAATAGAAACAAAACAGATTTGCGATAAAGCAGTCATTTTCCGATTGGAAAACTGAAACTACTATGGTGCTGCAGGAATCAATGCTTGCAAGCAAATTGTAAGAAAGACACACAGAACCTACAAAGGGATAAAGCTAGAATAAATGAGTGGGCAAATAATTGACAGAGGAGTGCAATGCAGGAAAATGAGGTCATCCAGTGTGGCAGGAAGAATACAGAAGCTGAATAAAGAATTAAATATTGCCCCTTGATGTTCAATGGAATTATCACCACTGAATCCCCCTTTAACAACCTGAAGTTTATTACTGACCAGAAATTGAACTGGACCAGCCATATAAATACTGTGGCTACAAAAGCTGGTCAGAGTTGAAGCATTCTATAGTGAGTAAGTCACCACCTGTCTTACTAAAGCTATCGACAAGACACAAGTTAGTAGTGTGACAGTATATTCTCCAACTGCCTGGATATATGCAGGTTTAACAACACTCAGTAGGCTTGATTAGCTGCACATTTACCACCTTCAACATTCACTTGATTCATCACTGACACACATGGTAATAGTGTATACCATTTACAAGATGCACTGCAGTAACTCACTAAAACTCTTTTGACAGCACCTTCTAAACCCACAAGCACAACCAACTTAGAGGACAATGGCAGCAGTTACATAGTACTAGCACCACCTGCAAGTTCTCCTCTAAGCCACAGACCGTCCTGACTCAGAACAATGCCACTGTTCCTTCACTAGCCCTTGGTCAAATCCTGGAACTCCTTTCCTAAGAGCACTGTGGGTGTCCCTCCACAAAGAACAGTATAGCGCACAGGAACAAGCCCTTCAGCCCACCAAGACTATGCCGACACAGGATGCTTTTTGAAAATAAAAACCTTTTGTCTCTATGTGGTCCATATCCATCTATTCCCTGCCTATTCATAAATCTGTCAAATGCCTCTTAAACATTGTTATTGTATCCGCCTCCACCACCTCCTCTGGTATTGCATTCCAAGCACCTAGCACCCTCTACGTTAAAAAAAAACTTGCCTCTCACATCTCCTTTAAACTTAGCCACTTTTACATTAAATCTATGTCCCTGAGTAAATAACATTACACCCTGGGAAAAAGACTCCAACAATCCATTCCTTGCCACTCACATTTTTGTAAACTTCTATCAAGTTGCTCCTCATCCTTTGAGGTTCAGGAGGAGCATTCCATGCAGGCAAGTTCTCCTATTTCAAAACCTAATCACCAACAGACAAAAATACAGGAACTGATTACACAACATTACCCACTAGTCACCAAACTCAGGTGTCTCACGTCTTTATTCCTAGAACACTAGAACTACAAAGAAGTACTTTATCCCTCTCTAGGCACTACTCACTCAGTATGCAAACTTGGTTCCCGAGCAGCCAAGTCTATGTTCGCAATCACCTTCTCAGTCACGGTGACTGAGTCGACTTTGCCCAGAATCCTCCTCTGTTGCTTATCACCAGCTCCCTCTGTTAGACGCTCTTCATCCTGATGAGCACCGGGTCCTGCAAGATCCCCTTCGCAGTCATGGTGACTGAGCTGACTTTTCCCAGAATCCTCCTTGGTGGTTTCTCACCAGCTGTGTTCCACCCTGAGAATTGTAGCAATTCAAGGCGGCAGCTCACCACTAGCTTCTCCAGGCCAATTAGGAATGGGGAATAAATACGAGCTAAACCAATACTCTTGTATCCCACAAATTAACCAAAAAATTTTGAGAGAGATTACAGAACATTTTGCAGAGGGATCAGAGTGCTACTGCAACACAGAGTTAGAAACAATTAATTTGGAAGGTAAATGGAATGTTGATCTTTATTGCAAGGCAGATGTGGTATTATAACTAAAGAAATATTGCTACAATTGTACAGCACATTGGGGAGACTGCATTCAGAACACAATGTACATTTTGGGTGTTCTTACAAAAAGAGGGGCATTTTTGCATTGGAGAGAGTTCAAAGAAGGTTTACTACTGGATTGGAGATAGTAAGAACTGCCGATGCTGGAGTCAGAGATAACACAGTGGGGAGCTGGAGGAACACACTGGTCCCGAAACGTCAGCTTTCCTGCTCCTCTGATGCTGCCTGGCCTGCTGTGCTCCTCCAGCTCCACACTGTGTTATCTATTACTACTGGGTTGATTCCTGGGATGTAGCATTTTCTTGTGAAATAGACAGATTCAGTAGCCATGTAGCCATCTCCTACCCCTTTTTCTTCGGTTTTTACCATCTTAAACAATTAAAGAAGAGATTCCAATGCAGTGATCCATTGTTTCTCTAACCCTACTAAAATAGTAGAATGCATTACTTAGATCGTTCTACATTTCTGCAGAAAAAGACACTGTCAACAGTGATTTTACATTGCCCGTGGTTAATAATGTTCTGCCGAATAATTTTATAATTGTATGCAAAAGCTACATTTATATCAGTTAAAATAAAATTTATAAAGACTGAGCTAGTACATCAAATTCGTGCAGACAGTAAGAATACTTGACCATA